CACTACAGTGCTCTTCAGAAGACACCTGGACAATGCCGAATCGATAAACAGGCAGCGATCTAACAAAAGAGAGGAAAGTTTTGACAATAAGAGAACAGGGCAATTGCTGTCCTGAAGACATTTATATTTCTCTTACGAGCAGCAGGTAAATGGTAAGTATATTTAGGGAAGTTATATAGGGTAGAGGAGAGCATACTGCATCATGGAAGATTCTTCCATTTCACCTTTGTTAAAGTGGATTAAGAACTTAAGATACTCAGGAAAGAGAGTTACTGTAGAATTCTAATGCTCGTTCTGCGAATAATTAGCAGTGTGGCTTTTGGCAAATCATCTACCATTTCTAGATGCTGTCTTCCCTAGAAACTTCCTCTTATTGCTCTTCCCCACCCAAGGCTGGGATAGATGAGATCCTTTGATTTTTCTGTCTTAATCCTATTTCAATTGCCTTGCCTATTAAATTATTTTATAATTACTATGGATAAATTTGTCTCTTACACTACTGAGCTCCTCGAGATCAGAGTCAATGTCTTAAGCATTTTTGCAGAACAAATCTAGAAAAGAAACTAAGACTTTTTGATGATTGGTCTAAAACACTCGCAGCTCTACTGTAGGCTCCTCTGAAATTGTGAAAATCTGTAAAATTCGCTTTGGCTGAGGAAATGCCAACCTGAAAACAAATCTTACTCTCTGCCCCATAAGGTGTAATAATTTCTACAATAGGATCCAGGCCCAAATTCAATAAAATAGGTTGATATTTTATTCTTTAACATTGCGTTTGAATTCTGGCCTGGTTATACAACTTTGAAAATAAAACTCTGGCCTTTAATCTGCCATTTTTTGGTTGTTGACAATTAATAAAAATGCACAGAGATGAAAATCTTAATATTTCCTGGACTTGCAATAACTCTCGCCTAATATAACAGCCTTTTTAACAGGCTATTGGTATGACCTAGGGAAAATGCCTGAATGTTAACTTTAGAAGAGAATTAAGGCTTCATTTGAAATAAGATTTTTTTTAAATTTTATGGTTTGAGAAAATTGAGATCCTGAGAGATGAAGTGACTTGCACAAGGTTACCACGAGGTTCATAAATGACAGGCCCAGCACTTACAGCAAGTCTAACGTGTATTAAAAAAAAAGAAAAGAAAAAGCAAAATTACTCAATATATTGTTTCCTTGCATGCCACATGTATCACTTGTTTTTGTTTGCTACCTTGACAACTCCACAAACATTCCTCAATCCAGAACTCTCTACTTTTATTTAGGAAGAGCTGTGCAAGGATGGGCAAGCCATTTGACCTCTCTGGTTTTTATTCTAGTAAGGGACTTGGCCTGCATGCTTTTCAAGATCCCTTCTACATATACTCTGGGCAGTAGAGAGATTAGATGGGATTTGAGAATACTCGTTATGAAAATGGGACTTGAGATATCCATACGTCTGAAGACAACTCAGAAGGATTAGACATTGCTAGAGAGATTCTTTTTTTTTTTTTTTTCCTGTATGAGGAGGTGTTCGTTATGATGCCAAAGTCTTGGGCACAGGATAGACATTCCTGTTGCACTCAAACTTGATTGACCTCTATCACTGACATATTGAAAAGGGGCTACCAAAAGCTGAAAGCTCTTGTAAATGGGGTGAAATGATTCAGATTATGCCAGAGAATTGAGGGTCAGAGAGAGAGAGAGAAAAAGAAACAAAAATTACACATATATACTCATATCTTTTGTTGTTAATTCATTTTCAAAATTTTCTTATTGGAGCTGACCCAGTGGAGTAGTGTTTAAGTCCACTTGCTCTGCTTTGGCAGCCTGGAGTTCGCAGGTTCAGATCCTGGGCAGGGACCTACGCATTGCTCATCAAGCCATGCTTTAATGTGCCATCTCACATACAAAACAGAGGAAGATTGGCAACGGATGTTAGCTCAGGGCCAATCTTCCTTACAAAAAAAAAAAACCTCTCTTATTGATCTTGATTTATTTTTATCCTAATACCTATTTGGGGGGAAATCGTAATGAAATGGGAAAAAGTACATATCTGGTAACAGCTTAATTTGGTTCTCCTGTTCTGGTAATATAATAAAACTCTTATGAATGACTGCTTTTGATCTCACTTTGGGAATTTAATCCAAAGAAAAATATTCGTGTACAGAATATTCAGTATAGCATTGTGAAAAACTGGAAATGCTCTAAATGTCCAAAAGTAGTGATGATAATTTAGTGGCGGGGCTGCAACTACCACCAGGCCTCCTGAGACCCTGAGTAGAGGTCCCTCCATCATTCTGTGCTGCATCCTACCATCTGGACCATAAATATATTCGAAGTGGAAGGACCCTTTGTCATCATGTTCTCCAAACTTCTCATTTGATAAATAGGAAACTGATGGCAAAGATGTTAAGTGAATCACCCACACATAGAGCCATGGTTTCTCCTTACATAGCACAGGAGTGATGGCTCTCAGTTTTCGTGTCTAGCCCAATAGTAATCAGATTTCACCCATTTGCTATCTCAACTTTATTGCTCTGAGAAATACCTAGTTTCTACTAGCAACATTTATCTTATTAGGTAAGTTCCCGGAAGGAAGATTAACATCACCCATGTGGTTGAAAGTTAACCAAGTTTTTTGGTTGCTGATGAGTACAAAGACACTATCACATTGCACTGGTCCACCCAGACTGTTTCCCAAAGGCCTTTGTAATGTCTAGTAAATCTGGGCTCAGTCTGTGGTTTATAAAAAACAAAATCACTGGCTTTTCTCATAAAACAAAGTGGAAAGCTTTTCTCAGCTCTGTCTTCTATCTTGCTCCCTGTACAAGATTAAGCATGCCTTTGAGTAGGTGACATAAAATGTCCACCTCATGAAGACCTGTTCCATAATTCAACTCCTAAGCAATCATATTTTCTAGGACATTGTCCCATGGAGGGTAAAAGCAAATATTTTGTATGGCATTCAAAGTCATTTGCAAAGCCCAGTAATCATTTCAAGTAATGGGAAAATAATGGAGGAAGCTCTGGAACTAAGCCACTAAAAGCCATCTTTTGAGGCTAACACGTGCAAATGGGTTGGCTGGGTTTGGCTGCTTTTAAGGTATAGTAATTTAGATGGTTGTTTAAATCTTTTTAACTGCGTGAGTATTTAAACTACATTTGTACGTCTGAAGACCAGAGGACCTGTAACAAATCTCACGGAAACCTACTGCAAATTTATTAAGTAAGAATTAATAGCTTTAGTGACCATAAGAATTCACAACACATGTGAGCCTAAGAACACACCACAAAGATCACCAGAAGTCTGGAACAATCTGCAATTGGCTATCCTCACTGTAAATGGCGTAAAAAAAACCTGTCTTCTCCTGAAGCAACTGATTCTACTCCCTTAAAGAGTTCAATGACCTACCCCACACATCTGTCTGAAGGCCTCCTTGCTCACATCTGCTCTTCTTCCCTCTGCTTTGAAAGCAGGTTAAGCCCTCAGGGTTATGTTGAATCTGTAGTATGACCTGAAATACAACTCAATAAAGCACATCACCAAAAAGTCTTCATGGTTACCCTGTTTGGTCCCCCCTAAAGCAGCACTGTGCATGTGGAGAGGTGTTTCAGAACCCTTCCTTGCTTCTTGCTTCTTATCAGCATTAAAGTATGTAAGCACCCAAAAGGGATGATTTCTTGGCCGCGATCGCTCATTTGAAATGCACTCCATAATTAACAACCTTGAAAGCAAAGAAGTAAATTTTGTCACATGTATTATTAATGCAGAGTGAGGTCCCCCAGGACCAAATTAGGCTCCTGATTAAAAATGTCCGTGTTAAAAGAAACAAGTAGACAGGGAGTTGTGCTCTCAGCAATCCCAAATTAACACACTGATTGAAGTGCCTGTTCAAGCCATGTGGAAAGACACAGACCTAGGGACTGCCTTGGTGAATGGGGACTCAAGTGTCCCAACTTGAATGCAGGTCAGCCAGAATCATCTTCAATAGGGTAATCCAAAAGTAGAGGAGATAAGGTACTAGGATGAGATACCGGATGGGCAAGTAACCATGGCGTAAGGAAAAAAGTAAACTGAAAATTCATTCATTCTTCAACAAATCAATTTTATTTTCAAGTACTGTGCTAGATACTAAAGTTTAGGCTTCTGGTTTTCTCTCTGCCATTCTTGATCTTGTTCAAGACTCCTACCACCTCCACACCTCTGTTTCCACCTATGTAAATGGAGGTGGTGGGAAGAAATGATCACTAAGGAAACTCTTACATGATTTTAGGAAAAGAATGGAAAGTAAAAATCTATCTAAACTTTTACTTTGTTGTGGGATGCAGTATATTTTCATTTAACTACATTCAAATTGATTTTATAAAGACTTTTTAAACTCTAACTTTCTACCAAACTTCTAGAATGATTCACAATCATCTCTGGGAAGTGCTACACAGCTGTTAAAAGAAAGCCAAACTGTGGCACAGTGGACAAGACTGTCACTAGAAATGGGAAAATTCCTAAAACTCTGATGCTCAAGAGAGATGAGGATTACAAAACACCCGCTTAACTTGTTGGTGATTGCGGCAGGCAAGAGAGAATTTAACAATGTTGGCAAAGCAGCTCAGTGGCACTCTGCCTGAACTCAGCTCTGTGCATCATGCATCCAGAGATCGTTCTTTGTTTAAGCAGGCCTGACTCTCTGGAGTTACTTTTGCCCTTTCTAGTTTTCTCCTAAGGCCACGTTGACAGAAAATTCCTTCCCCAAATGAAGGCAGCTACCAAGCATGCATATAACCTAAAATTCAATTAAAATCTTTTTTAAGTTGAAAAAGAAAAGAAAACATACTAATATAGTAATCCCAGAGACTCTACCTTAATGAGCATGCCAATTGTGACCAAGTTGAAACTGTCATGGGAATCATAATTCGGAGTTTCCTGCTCCATTTAAATTCTCCAGGGCCACATTGTCTTAAAGATTTTTCTTATATTGAAATTCCATCTTTCCAGAAAGTAAAGGACAATCCACCTTTAAAAAAATATGGAATGCTTCAAGAATTTGCATGTCATCCTTGCACAGGGGCCATGCTACTCTTCTCTGTATTGTTCCAATTTTAGCACATGTACCGCCTAAGTGAGCACAGAACAATCTACCTTTATATTCAAAGTAAATCAAATTTAAGAGAAGAACAATTAAAGGGTGACCTTGAATACATCATTTCATCCTTCTGAATCTCATCAATGAAGTGAAGCTTTTTGGATCGCTTACTACCTTGCCAACACTATCATTGTGTGATTCTGTTGTACAGATGCTACCCAGCAATTGAAGATTATATAAATCACGAAGGAGTGAGAAAGGACCACAAAGGAAAGGCAATTAGAAGCATACATCTCAGATCTCTTTCAAAGTGTTAGCCAACAGGTTTATTTCCTTGACCTATTGCATTCTTAGCTGTTAACATCTAATACTACTTCTTTCACAGGATTTTAAAAATAAAAACATTTTTAAGTGATCCAAACTCTAAAGGATGGCTTGAAGCTAAGAAGATAAAAACTGATGGTGAATAAAAGTTGAGGATGACTATTCATTGAAGAACGTGGTCTCTATGATTATTTTAGATCATACTCTGAAACCATTTTTCCTAAAGTTCTTATTTCAAGATATGGCCCATTCCAGGCTTTATCCTGACATAACAACCTATGTTTTACAGAATCCTTAATTAGTGAGGTGAAGTCCTATGACATAATATGAGGTTTTAATGACACAGAATGTACAGGTAAAAGCCATTTTCAATGACAAGGAAGGAAATCCAGTCTGTTTTTTTTCTAGTTATTGGTCATATTTTAATTAGTATATATTTTTTCCTCATTCTTGAAAATAACTTTTGTCCATATGATAAAGATCTACCAACAACATAAAAATAAGAAGAAGGAAGAGAAGGAGAAGAAGAAGAAAAAGAAGAAGAATGGAAAAGAAAAGAAGGAAAGGGTACAGAATTGAGGAGTCAATATGAGGTTGTGGGAATGAGGAGCAATGAAAACTCCACTGACCTAGCTTTGCACTAATTAGCTTTGTGCTTGATCTTGAATAAATCAGCGAATTTCTCTGAACCTTGATATTTTATCTAGAAAGATTTGACTGGATTATTAATGAATAGGTATGGTGTTTACCATTCCTTCCAACTCAAACATGTTATGACTATAGTGACTAGAAAATAGTCACAATTTGAACACCAAAATGGAAATATGGAATAATTCAAAGTCCCAAATTGTAATCTTTTCAAGATCAAGAAAAGTCTTGGTGGATTTTGAGGGGAGAATAATTAGTTGCTTGCTTGTTTTGAGTCTGCTGTTAACATTCTTCTTTCTCTCCGCTCTGTCAGCTCAAGGGGATACATTTTACCCTTAGCACCCCTCCTAAATTCTGAATTCACAATATGTCAGAATATCATTAAAGTTGTCTTATTCCTTTCTCTAGGGACTCAGAAACAATTATTCAAATGTTTGCCACTTACACTGAACTGAAAGCAGCTCTTAAAGAGTTGAAGGAGTTAGTATAAAGCTTCAGTCAGTGATCCTAGATGGAGGGGTGATAGGAGTCATTGAAATGTAGACAGCAGAGAGAGCGTTTACAAAGCACTTAGAGAGTCTAAGATGAAAAGAATTATATTACTGCCAATGAGTATTATTCCATAAAAATTCTCTTTGTGACTGATGAGAAGGAGCTCAAATCTTCAAATAAAACATTTAATTCACACCTGACAGCGATTTTCAGAGTATGGAACAAGCAATGTTAGTAATTCCATTCTTAGCCCAGGGAAAAACTGTGCAGCAGAATAGAGTGGCAATAAAATAAATGTCTGTGGCTCTTGAAAAAGAAAAACTCTGAAGAGAAAGACCCTCTGGCAAAAAGAGTAAACCCCATGTGCTGGCCTGAATTCCTCTAACTTTCAATTAGCAGGGTATGGGGATTACAATGCTCCTGTTGTTTCTGCACTGGTCTAAACTCACACACTAGCGCACGCACATAGTTGACCCTTGGCATTTGTGGATTCAGCATTTGTGCTGTTTGTCATTCACAAGCAACTTCAAAATGTCTTTAATTTGTGGTTGTCATTTTGCTGAAAATTCAGTGTGAATAAAGCTGGGGGGGCTGGTTTTCAGAAATGAGTCAGTTAATGATCAAACTCAGTAAGTACTTCTCAGTGTGACTTCACTATTCTCTACTTCTCTTTTTGCTTGCGTTAATTTCAATGAAGCAATATTCAAAATGTCCCCCCCAAATGAGGAAAAACTATAAGCAAAGAATGGATTCATAAATATGAGCTTTCAGGGACCTATATGTTGGGACTGAGGCTGGACAATAACACCCCTTATGCCGCCATGTGTAACCAATTGAAAAACAGAAGGTATAAGCAGATGAAGTATCAAAATATCTTTGGGCACCAATAAAATGGATTAGAGAATGCAATTTGGCCTGTTGCCACATTTAGAATTTCCACTATTTTCCTCCTAGAATTAAGCATGCCCACCCAGTCATAGCAGAGTACTAACAACAGTAGGCCTCTGTTCTCAACACCTTACTGCAGTAAGAGAAGGAAAACATGCATGTCCTGAAATCAGGATATTCTGATTCTCTCTGAAAAGAGAGAAAGGGATTAGGATGAAAGTTTATAAACCCTTTGCCTGATGTCACCAGTCAAGCATGCCTTTTCTTCCTGGAAAAGGAGTAAACTAAAAAGTAGAAAGTAGGGCTAGAAGTATTGCCCATGGAAGCATGTGGACACTTTGCTATCTGAATTCAAACCTGTTACACACTTCCATTTTGTTTCTGGGAGAACTCATTGAGCACGTGCGAATAATTATAACAAAAACAACAACAAAAAATAATATTCTGAATGAGTCAGGATAGGCCAGGCTATGCTGCAGTAATAACCAACCCTAAAAACTCAATGACATAAAACATCAAAAATTTTACTTCTTAATCACATTCCATGAGCACTGCTGATTGGCTAAGGACTAAAAACCAAGAGCAAAAAACAGATAATAAAAAGATAGGTATGGAAAATGTAGATGCTAGAAATAGTTTTACGTATGTGACCTAGATCAAGAAATTTTTGGAATACAGTTCTTTATGAGTCTCTTGAGATTCTACCTAGCTTTCAAGGAAAGTACTGATGCCTTTGTTCTAAACAAAGATATTTATGTAACAAACAACCTTGGGAGAGAGTGATTGTTTCCCCCTGTGGAGCAACAGGAAGGTTTGCTTACAGTATAATAAAGATAATGTCTCCTCCTCAGAGAAAAAGGGAAGATGTACTTGTAGCCCATTCTGAAATATTTGGGTTTACCAAGTTGTAGAACCTTAGCTGTGACATAAACCCACTGCATATGCAGTATCCAGCTAAACACCTCATCACCTCTGTGGCACCTAAGGAGCAAGGGAAAAAACGCAACCATGAAGTACAGGCATCTTGCTGTGCTGTGTCTAATAGTGTCATATTTCTCTGATCCAGGAGTTTTGTGTTGTCTGTCAGAATCCATGAAACTGTGGCATGCTACCTTGTTAACTTGCAAATGGAATAAAATCTTAGACCATTCCAAGTTCTTGAAAGAAATTAAACTATTAGATGGAAAATTTCAGCAAAAGCTGGAAACTATTATAAAATGGACATCTCAGAACTGGAACTACAGTAACTGAAACTAAGAACTCAATCAACAGGCTCAAGAGCAAATTAGATACAGTTAAAGAGCGAATTAGTGAACTAGAAGATAGATGAGAAGAAAATAGCTATATTGAAGTTTGATAGAAAAAAACATGAAAAATACAAATAGAACTGAAGTTCTCTGTATATCAATTCATAATTCTATTATTCTCTCCATCCTAAAAGTAACTATCTTTGAATTCAATGTTTATCATGCCCATATATGTCTTTATGCATTTATTATAAATGCATGTATATGTACGTGTATTTGTATGTGTATCAAACAACATAGAGCATTGCTTGTACTTTTAAAAACTTTGTATAAATGGAATTATAATGTGCTTACTTTTTTCTTAATATTTGAATCTTATAAAAAGCTCTTTTTACTAAGTCATTTCCACTGACTCCCCCTCTTATTTCATGTCACACAGCAAAATTTTCTCTTACATAATCAATGTGTCTTTTGCACGAAAATGTTATATTGTTTTGTGTTATTAATTATTCTACCAACTTTTCAGGCAGTTCCATATTTATTTCCTAACTACAGGCATAAAGCAAAAGCCTAGGCTAGAAAAAAAATTGATAGTCAAAGAATGCATTTAAAAAAAACCCATTATGAAAAAAATTTAGATTCATTATCAGTACCTGACAGAACCTGGAGAAAGACATGACATTAAAGTATTCAGAAAGCCCTTTTCAAAAGTCATCAATTAGGGAGGCAGCCCAGTGGCCTAGTGGTTACATTCACGCTCTGCTTCAGCAGCTCAGGGTTTGCAGGTTTGGATCCCAGGCATGGACCTATATGCCATTCATCAAGCCATGTTGTGGCAGCAACCCAAATACAAAGTGGAGGAAGATTGGCACAGATGTTAACTCAGGGCCAATCTTCCTCAAGGAAAAAGAGGAAGATTGGTAACAGATGTTAGCTTTGGGCCAATCTTCCCCACCAAAAAAAAAGTCATCAAGTATATAATTCATAAATTCCTAAAGGGAGATGAAAAAGGCATCAGTATGTCTGAAAACTAGTGGCAAAGTAGATAACATGAAACAATCCTCATTAGTTTATAGATCCCATGCCACAAGATGATGGTGTCCATTGCAGATCATAAAATGATGATAAGAAGTATTCAGTGAAAAGATCAAACTGTGATCAGATTGGATTTTCTCTGAATAAGTCACATGAAGTATTATAGAATGAGTAGGACAGCATTTCCATCCCTTTCAATCTTGAAAATACACAAATTTCTTCACTAGAATTTCTTACCAAAATAAACATTGACATATGCCAACTTGAGGAAACTGAAGAAATAATGTCTAGAGTATATGGAATTTGAAAAATATCAATGACTGAAATAGGGAAAAAGATAATTATAGCATATGAAAAATTCATTTTATTATAGCCATTGAAATGAGGAAAGACTTGCTCTAGTAAAAATA